TTTAAGTGCGTCAAATATTTATTTTTTGAAGTGGGGGGTGGGATTGCTACCCCTTACGAGGGTCCTAAGCGATTGTTCTTTTGGCCAGTAACTGCTTGCAATGAAAGGCATACTTGGTATTAATCCCAACTTGATATCTAAATTTTAAGTCCGTCAAATATTTATTTTTTTAAAATAGGGGTGGGATTGCTACCCTTTGCGAGGGTCACAAGCGATTTTGCTTTTGGCCAGTAACTGTTTGCATTAAAAGGTGTACTTGGTATTAATCCCAACTTGATATCTCTTTTTTAAGTGCGTCAAATATTTATTTTTTGAAATGGGGGTGGGATTGCTACCCCTTACGAGGGCCCTAAGCGATTCTTCTTTTGGCCAGTAACTGCTTGCATTAAAAGGTATAGTTGGTATTAATTCCAACTTGATGTCTTATTTTTAAGTGCGTCAAATATTTATTTTTTGAAATGGGGGGTGGAATTGCTACCCCTTACGAGGGTCCTAAGCGATTCTTCTTTTGGCCAGTAACTGCTTGCATTAAAAGGTATACTTGGTATTAATCCCAATTTGATATCTCATTTTTAAGTGCGTCAAATATTTATTTTTTGAAATGGGGGTGGGATTGCTACCCCTTACGAGGGTCCTAAGCGATTCTTTTTTTGGCCAGTAACTGCTTGCATTAAAAGGTATAGTTGGTATTAATTCCAACTTGATGTCTCATTTTTTAGTGCGTCAAATATTTATTTTTTGAAATGGGGGTGGGATTGCTACCCCTTCCGAGGGTCCTAAGCGATTCTTCTTTTGGCTAGTAACTGCTTGCAATAAAAGGTATACTTGGTATTAATCCCAAATTGATATCTAATTTTTAAATACGTCAAATATTTATTTTTTAAAATAGGGGTGGGATTGCTACCCCTTCCGAGGGTCCTAAGCGATTTTGCTTTTGGCCAGTAACTGCTTGCATTAAAAGGTATGTTTGGTATTAATTCCAACTTGATGTCTCATTTTTTAGTGCGTCAAATATTTATTTTTTGAAGTGGGGGTGGTATTGCTACCCCTTACGAGGATCCTAAGCGATTTTTCTTTTGGCCAGTAACTTCGTGCAATAAAAGGTATACTTGGTATTAATCCCAACTTGATATCTCATTTTTAGGTGCATCAAATATTAATTTTTTGAAATGGGGGTGGGATTGCTACCCCTTCCGAGGGCCCTAAGCATTTATCCTTCTGGGCAGTAACTGCTTGCATTAAAAGGTATACTTGGTATTAATCCCAACTTGATATCTCATTTTTAAGTGCGTCAAATATTTATTTTTTTAAAATAGGGGTGGAATTGCTACCCCTTCCGAGGGTCCTAAGTGATTTTGCTTTTGGCCAATAACTGCTTGCATTAAAAGGTGTACTTGGTATTAATCCCAACTTGATATCTCATTTTTAAGTGCGTCAAATATTTATTTTTTGAAATGGGGGTTGGATTGCTACCCCTTACGAGGGTCCTAAGCGATTCTTCTTTTGGCCAGTAACTGCTTGCATTAAAAGGTATAGTTGGTATTAATTCCAACTTGATGTCTCATTTTTTAGTGCGTCAAATATTTATTTTTTGAAATGGGGTGGGATTGCTACCCCTTCCGAGGGTCCTAAGCGATTCTGCTTTTGGCCAGTAACTGCTTGCAATAAAAGGTATACTTGGTATTAATCCCAAATTGATATCTAATTTTTAAGTACGTCAAATATTTATTTTTTAAAATAGGGGTGGGATTGCTACCTTTTCCGAGGGTCCTAAGCGATTTTGCTTTTGGCCAGTAACTGCTTGCATTAAAAGGTATACTTGGTATTAATCCCAACTTGATATCTCATTTTTAAGTGCGTCAAATATTTATTTTTTGAAATGGGGGTGTGATTGCTACCCCTTCCGAGGGTTCTAAGCGAATCTGCTTTTGGTCTGTAACTATTTGTATTAAAACTTATACGTGGTATTAATTCTGCTTTGATATTTTATTTTTAATAATATGAATATTAAGAAATTTCATTATGAATGTATTATTTTTCATGTATTTATTTATATAAGGAAAATAACATTTAAAATACAAACGACTTCAATTTTCAATTAACACATAAAATTGAAATAAACGTACGTATTGCCCTTTTCAACGGGCCACTGTATTGTTCGGGAGTACTCGGTAAACGGGCTACCAGTTTTTGGCTACTAACTTCACACCGGTATCCAGTCTTTGATATAAATATATACCCAGAAAAATGATTGGAACATAAAACATCACTATTTGAAATGTTTTCTGGGGTAAGTTTAATATGTTTCACTAGATGCGTTTTATCGGCAGGATTAGCTAGAAACCTACAAAAAACAAAAATTATTGATTTAACATCTTCAACATTATCATGATAAAATGACTTAAAAACAAAAAGCTTGTTTATATTGAAAAATTATGATTATTTTTTTTTAACTTTTCAGTAGAGTCCAAAATCAAAAACAATATTCCTTATACATATTACAAGTTCTTTAAATTTAATTCACTAAATTTACCATTTATTTTAAATTTATGTTTAACGGCCTTTTTCATAAAATGTAGGTAGTGTTTCTTTTAAAAAAATGGTAGAGACGCTAATGGTTACTAACCTGTGAAATGCCCTTGACGCGATGCGTTTTCTTATTTCTATTTACAACTTACACAAACTCTCACCATTGTTAAAATTTGTATCAGTAAAGTAATAAAATAGAAAAAATCACTTATAAACTACAAAAATAAGCTAGAAATTAATGAAAATCAAAAATCAAATGACAGTTCTGTCAATTTTGGACGTTTTGACATGCCAAGCAAAACGAAACAGACCAATGGTAATGCTGGACACTATTTTCCCCCCTGTACCAAAACCATAGCCCTCTGAGGGCTATGACCAAAACAAAGTCCATTTGAACGATTGCTCTAGTAAATATATGCTCGAAGTCCTAGTGCCGATAAAGCACTTTTTACAGATGATGCAGTTCTATACTTTTTAGAAGATATTATCAAATATTATGAAATTATTTTTACTGATGGTACTGTTAGCAAAATAAAATGGGGAAAGCTGAAATTAAAGGATGAGGTAATACCATGTACATTCCCAAATCTGCCTTTATACTTGTATTACAACAATAAAAATCTGTTAGCTGTGTTTTATTTTACTCTTAAAACTATATATTGGTTCAATTCAAAAAAAATTTGCCACAAAATTGTACTTATCAAATTTCAGCAATTAAGGGCCCTATTCAGTAATTTATCGTTTATGGACGACATCGTTAAGCTAACGACAGTTCAACCAACGACTTTTATAACGATAATTTTTGAAACTCTATTCAATAACAAAGTCGTTACGTTGTTTCTAGTTACCAAATCTGAACGATGATTTCTAGTAAGTTGGTATTATAATTTAGTGTTTTGTGATAAAAGAACGTATGTTGATGATTGTACCGGGTGTTTAAATTAAAGTTTTACAGTTAAATATCGCCGAAAATATTCATTTTATAAAAAAAAGTATCAGACAAAAGTTTTATAGTTTTTTAGGGGAAACATTTTGGCTAAATTAATTTTTTTATAGCTGACCATAATATGGCCATATCGAGGTGGATTTTTTTTTTTTTAATTGGAACCCAATTTTTTCATAAAATAATAAGAAACTTCTAAAGGAAACATTTTTTTATTGGATTTCTACTTATTAAGTAACACCCAAAAAAACTATAAAACTTTTTTTTTTTTTATAAAAGGAGGTATTTAACTGTAACCCTTTAATTTAAACACTCGGTATATTTGAGATTTTTTTGGAACGTAAAATAAAAATTCTACCAGTAGATATATTCATTTGTTTTTCAGAATATATTAATTATTGTTCTTAACCTACAACACGATCAGGGGGTCGATTCTCGATTCGTAGGAATTCTTGTTTCTCGCAGGCCATTTTTGCTGGTCGTATTGTATGTAGGGTTTATTTAAATGAGTATGGATATATTAAAAAAAAAACAGAACTATTCCAAAAGAATACAAAAAACAACTCGAGAACAATACAAGTTGTATTTTTGATTGTATTTGAAAGACAGACCAAATTTGTGTAGGTTACGGAGAAGTATTATAGGTACTTCCGTAATATAGGTTTTGTTACTGTTTCGCAGTGCTACTTTAGGAACAGCACTGTTAATAGGAATCCAATAGTAAATGGTTGAATGGGCAATCCTAACTTTGAATCCGATTTATTTTTAAAATAATTAAATAAATTAGAAAAAAATTCCTTACAAATTGTACTTGCTGTATTAGGTATTAGATGGCAATTTAGATGTAAAATTTGTAAAAAAGTGCTTTTATTATTTAGAACACATCCTGATTCACAATGAAAAATGAGAGGGAATGCAAAAATCACTATAACGACACTTCATATTATTAACGACAGCTCTTTGGCTATCGTTGATGAACGACAATTTTACAACCATATTTGTCTATTTTCAACGACAATCGTTGTCTACTGAATAAGAAAAGTCGTCTGTGAACGATTATCGTCTATTAACGACGTCGTTCAGAGTTACTGAATAGGCCCCTAAGAAACCTTTTCGAATTTGGTCATACATACCTAATTTGTATTTTATATAGATAAAATTAAATAATTTATCAATTAAAACATGCAAGACTTATTAAGAAATAAATACAACAGTATTTTCTGTGCTTTATTTAGGTGTAAACAAGTTTATTTTTATTATTTTGACACAATTATGTATAATTCCCATAAGAAGCCATGTATTTTGAACAACGTATGCAGTACCAGCACCCATGCGGTTAATTATAGAAGCTCAATTAGCATGCGTTTTTTGGGACCGTATTTAGAGTATGCCGATTTGTCTCCTTATCTCTAGTCTCCATAGACAGAAGAAACGTCAAAGAAACACATTGTCAAATTGTCAATTGTCTTCACCAACTTTGCAATAAATAAAATATGGCTTCCAGCAAAACAGTAAAAATGTTTTAAAAATGTTCTCATTCACAGTTTATTATTTAATATTAGTTATAGTTAGTGTAAAATGTAAGTATTTAATAGTATTGCAAATTTACATTTAGATTATAAATTTTAATTCCGATACTAAATTAAAAATATAGGTTATGTATTTATAAAAAATTATTGTAGGTAAATCTTTAACAGTAACCAAAAATTATGATGAATCTTTCTACCCCGTGACAGGGGTAGTGGAAGAAAAAGTAGGAACTACCTTTTCTTTAATATGCGAACTTGAATCTGATGAAGAAAGAAATGCTGTAGATGACCATCTAACTTGGATAAAGAGAGAAATATTGTCGAACCAAACAAGGTACTAAAATACATTTGTTTTTATTTAAATTATAAATTGTGAAGTTTTTTAACGATATCTTCGTGAATTTAAAGTAATGCATTTTACATTTTTAATGATAAATTTCAGATTACAAAAAATTATACCTAGTTTCCCAGGTATTAACAAATCAGTAAAACAATTCAACCCTCTGCGGGCAGAGGATAAAGGTATATATACTTGTATAAGTTACAAATTTAACCTCTCAATAACTGTAACTGTCCTACTCATTGACAATATCAAAAGAAATGATCTTAGACCACGTGAAACAATTTTTTGCAATGATCAGATGTTCCAGTGTATCTCGAATGGGGTCTGTATCATACCCCATTATGTCTGTGATGGGAAACCTGATTGCAAAGATGCTTCTGATGAATCTCTAGAAAAGTGCAATGGTGAACCATGTAGAGGTAAGTCAGTTGTTTAAGTAAAATATCAGATTCCACTAGATTTTTATTATATATATTTATTAATTTAACAAAAAGCTACTGACTTTACACAATTAAAATGTACAATGATTCATCAATACATAAATTAGGGTTAAGAAATTTTAAAAATGTTACTCTTAATATCAGTCCCTATCATTACTTTAGATCAGAGCTGTCACAAATACAAAAAAGATTTAAATCAAAGATAGGTACTTTATCTTTTAACACTTTAACCCCTGGTCAAATATTTCATCTTTTACTACAAACTGAGCTACTTTTTTGTAGCCTTTCCCAACGAATTGTGCATACCATAAGTGGTACACAATAAGTATATACTGACAAGTGTCAAAATGATTTAGTTTATACAACCAGTTATGAAATGCCTTATTTTATGTAACGAGCAGAGCGAGATCCTGCAAAATGAACAAGTTACATAAAACGGCATTTCATAACATATTACAATATTTTTTCTAATTTTGACTAGATTATTTATAATATTGTGTTTGATAAAAAATTACTGTCATCTATGCAACCAATATGTCTGTCTTGTATTGTAAAGGTGGGTTTAGTCAGCCTGATTTTGTTTTAAGCACTAATATAGACATTAAATAAACATTAATTTAAGGATTTTAAAACAAAACGTTTATACAGAAAATTTAAGCATTAACATAAGATTTGACAAATCATACAAAATGGAAATAAGGCGTATGGGAGCTGCTTCTGAAATTGCTCTGCTAACTATCTCACAATTACTATTAATAAAAGTGCAGAAAAAGAGTTCAGAAGTTCAAAAGTTAAAAGTTAGAAAAATAGCTTAACCTCACTTTTTGAACGCACATGCGCAATTGTATTTTCGACATAAATTTAAGCATTAAGTTGGATTTTATTTATCTTCACTAAATTTATGTTAATGTTTATGCTTATGTTATTCTGTATAAACAGGTACACTGAAATGTATTGAAATTAACTTTTATGTTAATGTCTATGTTAATGCTTAAAACTAAATCAGACTGACTAAACGAACCTTTAGTTGCATATGCATAACTTCATTTATTTCATATAAATAAAAATTTCTTTGGTGTATTCGGTCATAAATTTTATTTTATATTGTTAGCACAGCACTACATATGTTTTGGAAAACTTTGTTTCCATCTTCGGGTGCAGTCAAAATTTAAAAACATTAAAAAACACATGGGGACGATTACAAACAGTTTAAAAAATGTTAAAATAACACAAACCCCATCTTTTTGTTTCAGCGTGTGAAGGTATATTCGAAATAATATTGATTTGGTTTAACAGGATAACCATAAAGTAGGGAAACAAAAAGATGAGTTTTTACAAAATTAAAAATTATAAGTGGCCTTACAGTTAAGGATTAAAAAGCTTACAATTATTTAATAATATTAAAATAAACGTTTGACAAATCTTTTGTGACTGTTTTATTATTTACAAAGTTGTAATTTTTTTTAATATGTGTCATCTCAAGGATTGTTCTTTTGTTGAGATTAGGTTCATTTTCGAGAATTCTTACTTACTGAAGCATTTTGATGAAATTTCCCGCTCTTAATTCACCCTATAGAATAACTACACATTGGGTTCTTTCGTTCGCTGTTGGTGCAGTGTCCACCTGTGTAAATTACACCAGTTACACCACCTTATTTACCCTAGTTTACTACCTTCTAATTCCTTATACACATGTCGAGTGTAATTCGCTCCTGCTAAATAGCTGGTAGAAAAAATATCCACCAGTGAACATCACATCGCCAACAGGAAGGTATAGTGGATTATGCATTATCCAGAATTGTTAAAATAAAGAACAGACACCTAATTATTTTTCTATTTCACTCGTCTTACAGTACACACAGATATGGGATTAACAGGAAAATAAAAGTATACATTTGGCAACAAAATTTAAATTCTCTGAATTTATTGGTACACGTCACGGGACAAAACTTTAAAGCGTTTTTCCCACAACTCATGTTTCCAAAGTCGGTGCCCCTCATAATTTCAAAACTACTGTACCTATCCTTTTGAAATTTTGAACACTATTTTTGCACATACTTTACGAGGTAACGCTGGAGAGTTTTTTTCTCATTTGTTAATATTTTTTTATTTTATAATAACAAATTAGCCTATTTTCTTCGCTAGAATCGCGTTTTTTACTTCAAAGTGCTCCCAAAAAGAGAAAAATTGAAAATTCGAAAAACTCTCCCAGTTTTACCTGGGGAAAACGATTATCTAACGAGAGAACTTTGATTTTTTATTTCTGATGATCCAGCACCGAGTTAGGAGGGGCACCGCAATTCTACTTTTTTCCGAGACGCTTCCGAATAATTGCTACCATTTCCGTATTTTTTAATATTTCTACATGAAAATTTGACTCAATATTCTTTAAATATTATACTATAATGTACCATTAGTTTTAATAAACAGATTTTAACTGTGTTGACAAAAAAAATTCTCAAAAATGTGGCTTTTTTGCACGAATTAACCTTAAGTTAACTATAGTAAAATTTTACAAATCTGTCATTGGAATTATAACATATAAATTATGCACATGAGTGAGACTAAAAGAAACTTTATTTTGACTAATTTAAAAAGTATATTATTTATTTTACTTAACAAAAATCAAGTTCAAGGCCTACATCAGCGAATGTGTATCAACATGATACATCTACTCATTTTGAGTTATCAGTAACGTTTATTTTGCCCGTTTAATACTGAACTAATTTGTGAGAGATTTTAAAAAGTAAAATAAATGTGCTTTTAACATTTTTCTAATATTAGATAATATCTCGGATAATATAATGAAATAAAAATCTCCTATTCTTTCTTTCATTGTGAAATGAACTGCTTCTTTGAATCATTTTTATATTATATTTATCTAGAACGATTTTTTCAGATAAAATACCATGTGATGATGGGAGATGCATCCCAAGTAGTTGGTGTTGTGATAGACACCATGACCCAAATTGTTCTGTGACGAATAGACCAAAATGTTGTCAGTCACTTATCATACCAGAATGTAAGTTATTTTTTGTTTTTATAGCTCTGCCATTTCAAAATTGATTCTTAAAAACAATCACATTCAAAAAACAGATTCTAAATAGTTACGAAAATATTTTTTTAAAAATGTTTATCAAAAGTTAAATGTTTTGGCATTGCTAATAAAGGACAGTTCCGTCAAGTAAATATAACATTATTATGAACTATTTTTTTTTTAGCTTATGAAGAAATGGAGTATGGGTATCCCAATAATATGAATCATAACAATCACAATGGTGCTCGGTATTTGTTCATATCAGTCTGTAAGTATAACAAAAATACATTTTAAATTTCCTCTATACATATCATCAATGACCTCATTTTTCAATAATTTTAATCACAGGTAATAAAAATAATTTCTATATAATTGTTCAGTGACTAATAAATCATTTTATATATTAAAAAAGCTTAATCTTTTAATGAAGCAAAAGGTGTATTAAGAAGTAAACCATTTCAACTAATTTCATCGACCAATAAGTAAAGCTCTACACATATAAAACACAGTTTCTTCAAATATTGTAAAAAGTATCTATGGAAAAATTGGCGTGCGCACACATGAGCATTTCCAATGATCTTTAAACTTTTCATATTTCTGCATAGCATTATAGTCCAGTCTAAAAATTAGCTATTACCTCAGAATTCTTTCGGACTACATCGATTTGGATAAACATTTCTAATTAAGATTCTCTTCAAAAGTTGTATGTCCCTGATGTGCGCTTTTTATTTTTAAAGGGTAAAGACTGCTCTTTTTGACAAAAGTGTTGCTTGGATTAAAATCAAGTTCAAATATTTAAAAATATATATTTTATAATGTTGAACATAATTTATAATCTCTCTATTCTAATGTTTCAGCCCTTAAAACCTACCCGTTATGACCAAATCGAGAAAAAAATAGTTTACGACAGCTTAACATTTTTTAATGCTTCATTTATAATGAATTGAAATCCTCTCATTATTAATATTATTTTTATTTCTGATATATTGCAATGTTAGAACCCTCAAAGACAATTTCGTAATGGTTGATTCATAATTAAATAAAATTCTGAGATTATTTGTAATATTTTTTCTGAGGAATCGCCCTTGTTATTGAAATTAACTACAATGTTTTCTTACGATTAAACACTGAAAGTGTTAAATGAGTAAATAGGAAAAATAAAATTATAGAACTATCATCACTATCGACAATCTCCTGTTGGTCTGTAATTTGAAGACAATTTTGAGAGTTGTCACTGGATTACGTTTCACATTTTGAATTATAAAAAATCTTATCGCTGAAGTCGCCATTTTTCAGGTAATTACAAGAACTACAAGGCTTGTAAAGTTTAACTTTCTTGAACCTTTTCCCTTAGAGATTTTTGAGTTTAAAGTGAGTTCAGCATCCCTTATAATTTTCTGGTGTAGAAACGAATGGTGACTGAGAGTGTACGATACGATAGTTACAGACGCGTTACACCAGAAGTCAGCACTTAACGAGGCGTATTAGACACTAATTTTGGCGAATTTTAAAAAATCATAAACAAGAGATTAAGAGCTTAAATTTGGGGATTATATTAAGAACTAGCTGTTGTCCGAGGCTTCGCATTTGTGGAGTCGTGTTTTTAGTATAAAAAAATGCATGACTTCCTAAAAAAAGACGCGATAATATGTTGTTTTACTGCTCGCGGTATGTTTGTGATAGTATTATAGATTAATGTTAATTAGACTATACTAATATTTAAATATAATAATCTAATTGATAATCTCATTTTATACCACATTTCTTGTACGGCTCTCATCTGCTAGTATCACCAGAATGCACGCAGTACTTATTTTTATTTCCCTTCCCTTAAAATGTGAAAATTCAGAAACCATTATTTATTTTTGATCAGTAGCCGTATTTCAAATTCTCATGTTTTTAACTTTAAGGAACAAAAAAAATATATACATACTTTCAAACAAATTTTCACCCCCGTTTCCCGCCTTAAATTGTGAAAATGCAAAAACCCTTAAAGGCTTCATTATTTATTTTTGATGAGAACCTACAATTACAATTTTCAAGTTCCTACCTTTGAAAAAAATCGAAACTCTCTAATAAACTTTCATACCTGGTTCCCCCATTAAAATATGAAAATCCAAAACCCTGAAACACGTCATTAATAATTTGTAGTCAGTAGCTGCAATTCCAATTTTCATGTTTCTAACTTCAAAGAGAATAAAAAAAATCGATAGATCCATAAAAAAATTTCACCACCCGTTTCCCCCCCTTAAAATGTGAAAATCCAAAACCCTGAAACACGTCAACATCCAAAACCCTGAAACACGTCAACATTTATTTTAGTAGCTGTAATTTAAATTTTCATGTTTCCAACTTTAAAGAACAAAGAGTTTCATTAAAAACTCCCTCCCCCCATTTCCCCCATTTAAAGTTAAAATTTCCAAAAATCCTTTCTTAGCGGATGCTTAAGTTATAAAATAAACCTATCTTCCAAATTTTAGCTTTGTAGGCTCAGTAGTTTTGACTGTACGCTGATAGGTCAGTCAGTCAGTTAGGACAAACAATTTTATATATACCGGGTGTTCAAATTAAAGTGCTAAATACCGCCTTTTATAAAAAAAATGTTTCAGACGAAAGTTTTATAGTTTTGTGGGGAAAAATTTTTGGCTAAAATCGTTTTTTATAGCTTACCATAATATGGTCAACTTTTTTTTCGCCCCGCAAAACTTTCAAGTAGCTGTTACTCAAAAAGTAAAAGTCCAATAAAAAAAATATTTTCCTCAAAAGTTTCTTATTTTTTATGTACTTTAAGAATATTTAAAAAAAATGGGGTTCCAATTTAAAAAACAAAGTCCACCTCGATATGGCCATATTATGGCCAGCTAAAAAAAAATCAATTTAGTCAAAATGTTTCCCCCAAAAAACTATAAAACTTTTGTCTAAAACTTTTTATTCTAAAATGCATATTTTCGGCGGTATTTATATAACTGTAACACTTTAATTTGAACACCCGGTATAGATAGTGCTGTTGAAGAATGCATTTATTTTCATTATGATATTTCAAAATTTAAAGCCCTTTGGTTTTTTTTCTTGGAAACTGAAAGGATTTAAAATTTTATTTTTTTAAACATAATTACCTTAAAAGGATCGTAGAAGGTGGTACTAAAAAAGGGTGATATATCATGTAATTTTTTGCATTAAAACCTAAATTTTACTCTTTTTGAACACCTTCTGTAGTTTTTGAGGTATTGTAATAGTAGTTTACGTTATAAGCCCGTTACATAGATCTTTACATGCAAGCACGTTAACTACGTTTTACAACCTACAAACAAATAAAATTTAATTATTTGACACCATCATTACAAGTTTCCGAATGTGATTAAAAATAATGACAGTCAAAACTGTTGTTAAAAATTTTACCGGGCTAGCCCGTTATGATTCCCTTAACAAGCATGAACAGAGGTTGCTTACCACGGGCTAACATTGCAGTATATCAAAATAAAAATAATTTTAATTCTTGTGGATAAGCCGTTGGCTTCAACACAGTGTTTTGTCCGAAAAAAAGAGACACTCATTTAAAAAAAGCTGATTTTTAAGATCTTTTCAAGAACTGATGTTTCTCTCTGAAAATTTGTCGTTTTTCTGTTATTTGGCATTAAAATGTTCTACCAATAACAAACAGTCATCTTCAACGAGGCATAACTCGGTTCTTATTGCATCTACAGAAATAAAAAAAAATATCAATCGATTAGTTTTTTAAAAACTTTATTTGTTTTTGTTTATTTTTTCTTTGTAAGACGTGTGGTTTTTAAGTTTTAATTAAAAAATCAACATTTTCAATAGCGAATAACTCGAAAAATATTAATTTATGGAAAATTCGATTTTCCTTAACAAAAATTAGAGGTATTTTTTGCCCTATTATCACGCAAGCCGTGTTCACTAAATGATTTACTAATAGAACTAGGCTTCGGAAAACCAAAGTCTTTAATGTTGCAAGCGGCTAAGAAAAAATAAAGATTTTCACCGATGTTTCCACATAATTCCATCGAATGTATGAAAACATACATCGTCATAGTCCGAAAAACACATTGGCTTGAATGATCGAATGGATAAATGCACTTTTGGGGTCGGAAAATATTTCTGTTAAGGAAAATCGAATGTTCCATGTGTTATTCCCAAGAGCCACTCGTAAATTTTCTTTTATTTTACTCAACATCGATGTACTTTTAAAGGCTTGTATACGAAAATGAGGCACCTAAATCGGTCACTACCTGACGGTATTATTACTTGTTATTCAAAATTCCCGTCAATCGGTTTAGTCAGAAATAATTTGGACCGAAAAATCGCCAAACACTGGACTATTGGCAAAATGTGAATTACTGTTCACAGTACCGACTTTTACACACTTCTTAACATGTTCAAGGTATCATCAGCATCCTCTTTTCGATCGTTCTTCTTCTTCTCATCGTATCGAAAGTGATGATCTTCGCTAAAAAGAGCGCTTTACAACAACAGCGGCACAACTTATGCGAAAACATAGCTCTACGCAACCAAACCAACGTCAATATAATCCGAGCAGACTTCGCTCCGACGGGAATCTACACGGTGCGCAACAATTCGCGCACGCCCCGTTCCAACATAATCATAGATACTTCGGAGGTCAGCGATCCTCTTTTGTTCAATCCCGCACGCTTTAACGACGTCAATTTTAGGAGTTATACCGATCAACCACCGTCCTACGTTGACGTTTTGAGAAACAATCGGTTGATCAGCGAACCGCCGCCTCCGTATACCAGCAGAGAGATACTTAATTGTAACGAGGAAAGGCAGGAGAGGAGATGATGGTTCGTTTTTAAATGTCGAGAAGGTCTTTTAGTATTATAGGTTGTGTGATTAAAAATGTTAGGTAAGATACGGTTTTTGTGTATTCTCAACTATCAAAAGACTTGATTTTGGTTTTAAACTCACAGACAGTTGCAAGAATGTCCATTAAAATTTCAACTTTATAAACTTTGGCAGAGCTTGTGAGATTGTGAGCTATATGAATAACATGAACAGTCGATTGTGTATACAGTTGATTGTGTATCGTGTTTGTTAATAATACTCTCCTTAATTCTCCCCCTTACGAGTAAATTTTAACCCCAAAAGTTGAGCTTGTCCGAGGAAAGGGACGGCTATTATTATTATTTGCCGCGGCACTCCGGGGCGACTTAAAGATGATAGATGGTGCTATTTTACTTACAGGTGAGGAAAACCCCACCCACTATCATAGAAAATGATAACGCATGGCTATTTCTATAATCTGGATGAAATATCCACAGAAATTAAATTTTTGCTATTATGGTGTTTCTTTTACCACAAAATAATAATATCTGGACGTGATAAAGGTAGAAAAGTAAAGGGAAAGGCAAAGTTCCATTCAAATCGTGCAGGATTACAATTTCCAGTTGGTCATATCTATCGTTTATTGAGAAAGGGAAATTATGCAGAAAGAGGAGGAGTTGCTGCAGTCTTAATGGGATATTTAGCTGCTGAGGTTCTAGAATTGGCCGGTAACGTCGCTAGAGATATTGACAGTTTTATTATCCCCAGGCACGAGAAAGAATTGAACAAATTGCTTTGGAGAGTTACGATTGCTAAGGTAGTGTTTTACTCAACATTCAAACTCTACTTTTGCCAAAGAAGACTAAAAAGAGAGCCTAATTGCTTTTAATTTCTTTTAATAAAGATGTTCCAAGTAAGATACCTGTCAAAATTTATAAGACTTGTAAAGTTTAATGAGCATTCGTACAACCGGCTGCCTTTGTCTTATTATTATTATTATTCGTTTTCACAACATTTGGATTGATATATATTTTTAACATATTAATGCCCTAGCATTGTAATTAATGTCTATATTAACACTTTTTGGCGGTTAAGAGTAATTTCAGTGAGGTTTCGATTTTTATCTTTTTTTGTAATGATAAAGTGGACGAAGTGGTCCATTTTCTATGAAAAAACATAAATAATGAATTGTATCTTGGACAATAACAACTATTTTAAGAAAAAGCCTATAACATTTTAAGGCGGTCCCTATGGACTTCTATGGCCCTGTACCGTGTTACCTCAATGGTCCATAGGGACTAATTTGGTCGTTAATGTGTTTAAAAATAAAGAAAAACCATGAGTGCACAAACACACAAGATGATGTGAGTACATTCTGGAAAATTAAGGAATTTGAATTGGTCATGGAATTTAAGGAAAAATTAGGGTCTTTTAATTAAATTTGTCAAAACAGTGAAATTTTGCAAATATGATTTTTGAATAATGCGGATTATTTTCCATGTTGCCAACCATTTTTTTAGCAAGTATTAAAACAATGACAGCCCGAAACCATACAAACATTCTAAACGCTACTGTTCATACGAAAGACATCCGATATACAATAGGAGTTCTGACGTTTTCTATCGTATACATAGATTTTTGGATAGTTTTCACACATCAGAAATAGTTTGAGCGTCATAAATTTTACTTAAAAACTTTGGAACATTTTATTATTTTTTGCCCTTTCATACATCCCTCTGCTCCCTCCTGAGACGTTCAGGCTTGGGTCCAGCCACTGGCTCTCCTCAATCAGGCTTAGGTACCAGCCTGCCTTTCTCTTCTCTAGGGTTTGCAAGGCGGCACTGCAACTTCAGTGGCTTATTGTACTACCATTTAGATACCCTACTCATTCCCATTTATTCAACTAATGCATTCTACCCATACATTCCACTGTCTAAATGGGTCTCGAGCTGTGCGAGTTCGGTCTCCTATTCAGACTGTGGCCAGTCCATCACCGTTGCTTTTGTTATCGGTGTTTCGAATACCTTTTGCAGCGGCCAGCGACTCGGCTATCTTTTCATTATACTAGTGCTTAAAAGCGTAGTTGGTAGTGACCTGTGACAGCTGATGCATGTGTATTTCTAACACATTCTCATTTTTTTAATTATGTCTCAATTGTGTATTTAACAGAAGTAGAAACCTATTTTATAGTTAAAACAAGTCCCTTGCGAGGCGAAATTGGCTCTCTTGTCCTTAATTTTTGCCATATTGAGTAAGGAATCAAAAGTTTCAGCCGCTATTCTTAAATAATTAAACTTTTTTTTATTTGTCAGTTAACCTCATTTCCTAAATTATGGTACATCCGTTGTGATTTTCTTCCATAAAATATATGTTGTATTTTTTTTTTTTTTTTTAAGCCATGAGAAGACAACAATTGTCCATTTTACGTTAAAAAGTACACGGTTATTGGAATGAAGTTAAAATTTATTTAACAATAGAAACTTTTTTGGATCATTCTATTGTCGGATGTCATACATATGAACAGTAGGCGTAATCGTCTAATAGTTCAATCAGTCAATTGGTTGTAAATTCTCTAGTTTGATCAGTTGACAAAGTTTGTCTGTACTTGAAAAATTGTAGATATTAAGAACATCTATATTCCACTCCACAAAATACTCCTATTTGTTTTATATGAATAAACATGGATTTTATACATATAAATTATGTGAATAAAATTAAGATAAAGAGTGACCAAATTATAAAAAAAAAATGTTTGTAATTAGTGATTGAATAACAAAAAAGTAGGTCATCAGTTATACCTACCAGATCAAAATAAGGGAAAATTAGACTATTTCAAAGACTGTCCCTCCTGAAAACAACTACCCAACAGGCATTTAATTATATAAAAATAAAAACATCGGAGAAAGAAAATTATTTAAAAAAAAGGTCAGTTACAAAAAAGTTATAGCCTTTTAAAGTTAAAAATTGAAAATAGACTTTTTCTAATAATTCGGATACTGCCACTGATCTGTATTATTTTACAGATTAGTGGATACTTCTAAACAATTGTCATAAAAACAGTGCACTCCATTAAAATTTTATGGGTGTTGAGAAATAGATAGATAAAAAAATATAAAATATAAAAACACGTATGTGGAAAACAGGTTATAAAATAAGTTATAGGTACAATATATTAATTACTGGATGATATTTTTGAGTTTTTTTCCATTCTTATTGCTGAAAGTGTTCTAAATACTTACCAACAGAGAACTTAAAGTTTTTTTTTATTTATTTCGAGTGGTAGTTTATTATAACGATTATAATCCAGTGATTTTTTCTGGGACTTAGTTAAATGAAAACGGCTAGTTCTGATGTTTGCTTGTCAAGTAAAGTGTTGATGTATATATGTTTAGTTAAGGAATTGCTGTCTTTCTGATGGTAATGGCAAAGTTCCCTAAAACCAACACCAGCCAACATTCTAACTGCCTTTTTAAGTTTGAAAATATCTGACAACATAGCTGATGTGGGAATGCAAAAGAGTGTGGATTTCCTAGACTTCTAAACTTTTGTATACTTCAGCAATAGATTTTTTTATGCCTACATAATATCAAACAAATTGTCAAAGTCCTGCAGGCTAATAACGTCTATGAGGCGCAGTGCTGCCAACCGGATGAAATTAATAGCCATGCTCATGATCGAAAATTGCCGTGTTTTTACGAACCTATCGAAGTATGGCCGTCTCAAATGTGAAATGTATTAATTTCCTTTGCATAAAGTATTTTTTTAAGATTTAAAAACACGTCAGTATGGCAGTATTTTAAAGCCGTAGCCATACAATTAATATAAAAAGCCATGGCAGCACTGCCGAGGCGTAACTAGATACCTTATTTCTGGTAGTGTCATTTGGTGGGCTTCTACCACTCCGATGGTGAATACCCATGTGAAGTTATTCTGACAACCCGCTCCACAAAGCGAAATTTGCAAATATTATTATTAATTACCATTATTTGCCGTGGCGCTCCGGGGCGACTTATAAATGATTTGAGTCCATATTGACTCCAGAATGTCAGGTATAATTTATGACTTACTTTTTTCTTAAACCCTGTATAACCACATAAAATGAAATCGCATAAAAATCATAAAATTTTGTTATTTTAACATCTTTTATGTAATCAGTGTTGTTACAGTCTGGGTTATAATTACACATTACTACAAATATTGTCTTAAATTCTAGATTTTTGTGATAATATTACCACCAATTGCATATGTATGCAAAACTGTCGTAAATTGTATATCCCCTTTCTAAATCCTAAATGAATTAATCAAACTATTTTTATAGCAACAAACATTTTTAATGAGCAACCAGAAAATTTAAATGGAATATGAGAGTTATTAATTTATGATCCCTTATTTTATTAGATTAAAAATTTTTACTTTACATCACAGTATTCGTATTCAAAATACCTCTCAAATAAGATATTACAACGCCCCACTTTATATTTTTTTAAAGATGGTTGCGCCCTCTGGCTTTGTTAAAGATAATCTCTGCTATTATAACCAAAATGTCGTATTTTAGTTTCAATTTAATGTAGATTGTTTCATTCATTTTTCTTATTCCATTTAGGATTTAAAAAGGGAGGAAAATTTACTAGGTTACTGCATGTAACATTTTTTTTTTTTTTGTATTCATAAAACAGCCGATTTTTTAAGACATGAGCGTTTACATTTATAGTATTTGAATAGAGCAAATTTCAAGTATCTGAGAAGCAAACGAATTCACAAGCGCCGTTATCTGACTTTATTGACCAACTTAACTAAAATATATAAACTAGAATATTTAAGAAAATTATGTCTGAACCAAGGCAGCTTTCGAGATTTTAACGTAAATGTACTTCACTTGTTAAATGCGAGTATTATCACTTTTTTGTTCTGTTGTAAAAAAAGACATTGTTATTGTTAAGTTTTAGAATGGAATAGTTCAGTTTGTAATAAAGAATTAGTAATCGATGAGCGTTTTTGGATGAATTATTTCTCACTCATAACTCTATAAAAAATATATTATGTGTGTAAGGAATGAAAAATAATTCACATAGCTTTACTGTATTCTCTAAGCGCTAAACAATATTCTTGTTAAGTTTATGTAAAATACCATTGGAGCATTATCAATCTATTTATGTTCGTAATTTTAAATTCTTGCCCAATTTTGAAAACATATCTTAATGAAACAATACATATATTAAAAGGGAATATGTTTTATACAAATATGGTTTTAATATAAATACAGGTTCGAACATTTAAACGCGAACCATCTTAAACCAAATCTAGTAGAGACGAGCGTAAGTGGGGCTGAGGTGGAAGTCGTAGGTGCGTATAGATATAACGGGCGAGGCCAGGGCCAACAACGGGCCCAGGTTTGTCAGATTTGTACGGTGTCGTATATGTACTGCGCGATGGAAAGCAAAAGGGCCTACTTCGATCTTATTTGGCCCGGCCCGTGATAGACCTGTTGTTTTCCATCGCGCGGTAGATATACGACACCGTACAAATCTGACGAGCCTAGGCCCGTTGTTGGACTCGGCCCGGCCGTTATATCTATACGCACCTATACGTAGCGTGCGCCAGGCACTCCTCGCTCCCCAGCGGTCTTTGTTTCATGTCTGGTCTTCTTATACATTTTCCAAATCATTGTAAAATAAAGAGTCCGTGTTTAGATTTCTGTACCTGTATACTTACAAACGTTCCTCCGCCTGCTCAAAATTCACTTAAAATTGCCATTTTTTTTCTCTTGGCGCCGTTTCTAATTTCGTTTTTCAATTAATAAGGCATTAGAAGATTTAAAATAAAAAGTAGGTTGGTTAACCAATGCTGAGATAAATGTGTTCAATTTGTTTCAAGTTTTGGTGTAGTGAT